CTCAATCTCAGCTCACTGCAGCCTCCGCCTCCTGGGTTCAAATGATTGTCCCACTTCAGCCTCCCCAGTAGCTGGGACTACAGGTGCACACCACCACACCCAGCTAAATTTTGTATTTTCAGTAGAGATGAGGTTTCACCATGTTGGCCAGGCTGGTCTTGAACTCCTGACCTCAGTTGATTTGGCCTCCTAAAGTGCTGGCATTATATGCGTTAGCCACCTCACCTGGCCTCCTGCTGCTCTTCCAAGATGATTCCTTCCTCATGACTATAGTGATCTGTCTCCCTGCCTACTGTTTACTCTCTGATTTCCCCACTCTCTCCAAGGTGAAGGAGAACAGGGTTTATGGCTGGTTAGTTCTCCACTGGGTAAGGAAGCCTGGCTCATAATAAGGCCTCAATCAATATTTGTTGACAGGCGAATTCTATACCTGTTCCCCAACACACAAAAATAAAGCAAACACCCCAGCCCCCCCCAACTGGTCCACTCTGACTCCTACAAGTTCAATGCAAGTGCATGAGAAATGGCCTGTAACCCATGTTGGCTTCTAGGAAGAAAGTCTCCCGGGAGCTGGGTTGAGGCCCTTTGTAATACACCACACACTGTCAAGAACTTAGACGAGAACTCTGAAACGTGGATTTCCCACATTTTATCAAAGTGCCAACATCTGTGGCTAGAATAGGAAACAGAGGTCTCTGGGAGCCGACCAGGAAAACACTGTCCTTGCGCAATTCCATTCTCCTAAGCTCAGACTATTCCCGGGAGCACTGACTGCAGAGCCAATGTGGCGAAATGAAAAACGATCCAATTGGAGACATCAAATGAGGAGGGCAGGACATACATGCTGACTTGGCAAGTCTAGCACAGTCTGAGGAGGAAAAGTTGTATGTGTGTACGTGCACATGCACATACACACATACTGTGGCCTGGAACCTCAAGGCTCATAGTGAAATCATTTAAAGAAAAAAAGATCAGATCTGGCACCAGCCCAACACCAGGCCTATAATGGGAGAAGTCGGCATTATCAGGCGTAACGTGTCTGTAGGAGAGCTCCCCGCCAGCATCCATCAGAAATAATGCACCTTCCTATTCACTTGGTTACCTAGAAATCTGCTACACTGCTGGCCCAAAGAATGGTCTTCATGTCCAGTTCTGGGGCTGACTGCTGGGCTGGGCAACGTGAAAAGAGCTCCAAGCCAGGAGCTCTAGCCTCGATACCCCCATTGCCCGTCTATCAACTAGGAGAGCTTCATTCAGACTCCCTGATCCAGTTTCCTGCCCATGTTACTTAATAAAGAAAGTGAATTTTAATAAATAAAGCAGTGAACCACAGAAAGCATCCTTATTCTTACACAAGTTCCTCTCTCTTTGACATCACGGCAATCATTCTGGCCATTTATTGAACACTTATTACACGCTAGCCTCTGCCAAAGATGAATACGCCCTGGTTTTTTAAAAAAACGGGTCATAGAGTGGAAGAAAAGTAACTACACATGTCTCTAGTTTTGATTTCTGTGTTAGGAGTTGGGGCAATTTTGAACTACATGCCTTTGAGTTGAATGCGTTCTCCGATGACTAAATGCATCCCGGCGCCATGTGGTGTATGAGAATGACCACTGAACTATGCGCCGACATATACGAATATAGATGCTGAAGGTCACTGGCAAGGGCCCGAGTTCTGCCTGGTGTTTCTCTGATAAACAGTGAAGAACCCTAAGCTCTGAATGAAGATCTGGGGGCCCTTTGAGTACAGGGGATTGGTTTCTACTCTGGCTACTGCAGATACAAGAGCCTAGAGGAGAAAAACCCCCTGGTTCACTCCTGAGAACAGCTCAGGCTGGGAGCACAGGAGGGAGGGAACCAGGGGAGGAAGCGCTCGGCTGTGCTGGCCCCACATGCCCAGCTTGTGGGCCGGGACATGCAAAAGGCTGGGAGGCGGTGCATTCTGGGTGGATGTCTCCCACCCGATGCTGTGTATGGCAGGCCTGGCCAATCGACTGTTCTGGAAGTGCAGCTCCCCCTCCTCCCACAGCAGCCGGGGCTCTGCTTGCCACAAGAGTCAGGGCGAGTCAGCCCAGAGAAAGCACCCAGGGCCCTGCCAGGCCCCTCTGGTGTCTGCAGAGGTGACGGCAGCCCTTGGTGGTGGGAAATGGTGGTCAGCCGAGAGCAGAAACCAAAATTACACACAGGGAAAAACAGGAAGAGTCCATGAAATAGAAACAGCAGAGAAAGGTTTTGCATGTAACACCCACAGTGTCCTACTTTCACTTTCCCAGGAGAGAATTCTGTCATCCCCAGCCTGGGGCCAAATGTTTGCTCAGTGTGCACATGTAGGCCGGCAGCCACTGAGGAGCTCCAAGCAGAGCTGAACTTGAACTCAGCACTCCAGGGATGGGCCTGGTTCTCCCCACTGGGGTCTGTGGAGGTAAAAGCTCGGACATCCCCCTTCGGGGGAGAGGGTCCCCCAATCTGGGCTGGTGACTTTGTGGATACTGGCAGCCCAACCTTCACAAGCACCCTGAAAGCAGTGTTTGCAGGCCAGGTGGCCAGCAGGATTCTGGACAAGAGGCAATACTGGTCCTTCCGTAGGCACCCACACTGGGGAGCTTCTCAGGAAGGCCCCCCAGGCAGAGTAGTCTTTGAACAAGCCCCCAGCCACCTCCAAGCCATACTGGGCAGCTGAGGGGGTACGGCAAATGCAGCCCCCATCCCATGCTACTCACCATGTAGGAAGGGAAGATCAGAACGCGTTTGTGCTTGCCACAAGGCCACTGGGGGTCATCCAAGAGATTTGGGTCATAGTCCAAAAAGTCTCCCAGGTCGCTACCTGAATATCACATGCAAAATGCAAAATGATGATTAGTGGCTCCGGACCCTCCCCAGCAGAGAGAATGCCACGTAAAGCTGGTCTGAAGCAAGGCTGGCTTTAGGGCACTTAGCTCAGTGCCACGGCACTCACCGACTTTTATTAGACGTCTCCTCACGCCAATCAACTAAATTCTTTCAAAAGGGTTCACCAAATTTCAACATCCTGACATTTCTTATCATTTTAGAAAATTATGTACTAATCTCCCTGAGCTAGAGGAGCAAAAGCTTCACAGAACATGCAAGACGCAGAGGGCACTCTCAGAGTGTGGCCCCGAAGAGCTTCATTTTTCAGACTTGCAGATGATATTCAGAGATGCCTGTGCAGCACGATTTGGTGCGAATACTTCCAGGCAGGCTATTGTGTCTGTATGAATACAAATCAAAGCGGCCACCAAGGCACAGCTGTGAGCGATCAGAGGTGGCCGGAACGCTAGGGCAGGGCTTCAGAACTCAGCACTTGGGCAGACGGAGGGAACTGCACATTCATTTGGAATTTCCCTGAGAGTGGAAATAGCCCTGCTTCCTAAAGCGTTTTCTCCATGTGTCAGTTCTTACAAAGGTTTGATCAGCAAAGCTGGCAGCATGCAAGTCTTCCTTCAGCTGCCAACTCGGTTCACCCACTAGGACAGGCACAAAGGAAACTCTCACACCCGAACCTGCATTTCAGAGCCCAGATTTTTTTTTTTTAATTCCGAACTGAGCACCATGAAAATATAGGACAGAACAAGGTCATGATTGAGAGAAGCTGAGTGGTCAGAGAAGCTGGGAAACGCAGTCATCTTTGCATGGTGTGCATGGCCTTGAGATTTCTCCAGGTGGAAGCTCAGGCAGTCAGTGACTGGAGCATCTGATTAGAGAGGGATCACCTGTGGCTTGATTGTGGGCCTGTAAGGCCTGAGATCAGGCTTTCCTAAAAGTCACATCACCTGTGGGCCTGTCCTCCAGTCTGCACAATGCGGAGACCCGATCCCCATATAAACGGAGGCTCCTCCCACCCTGAGCTACCAGACCCAACCAGACCAAGGTTACCTGTGTCGAGGCTCCCCTGGGTGCCGCTTGCCCGGCCTATGGAGAGGCTGCGGTGGCTCAGGTTACGGAACTGGGAGAAAGAGGAGGTGGAGTCTATGGTATTTCTCCGGGCTCCAAAGGCATTTGTGGGTAACAGAAATTGGGTATAGGAAACAGTCTAAAAGGCGAAGACAAAAACAGGCCAGTGATTATTCCCAGGTATTGCTAGCTCTGCATTCTGATCAAGTTACAGTTGTCACCCGAGTTCAGGCCCACTTTCTCCTATTTGCAATTCTGAAATCCAATGAGATCTGAAAAATGAAATTCGTTTTGGCACGCATTGGTGCCAACACCCAATCTGAACTGACCTAAGGCTATGTGTAGTTTTAATTTATTCCACTTGATCTGATGATTCCTATTACGTGCCAGAAATATGAATGTAATTGACAATAAGGTACTATCTCAGAACCTGCTGGGGTGTTGTGTTATCCATGAGGCACACGCTGCATTGCTTTTTATAATCTATTAAGTGCGGAATCCCAGAACACTTCAGGCCCCAAGAGTCCCTAGTGAGGGCCGTGGCCTCCTACCATGCTACTCTGGCAGACACTGCGTATGATCCTCCACTCTATCCTATCCTCCCTGGCTCCTATGGGAACACTCCCTCGTTAGGGGTGAACAGAACAAGTGCATTGCTTTTCACCTGCCCAGGCAAGCACCTCGCATGCACCCTATCTACACCTTAAGCTCCCCAGCAACCTCATCTGCAAACTACCCTGGGACAGATTCCCCAAGAAACACTTGCATCATTGCCATAAACGGATTTTGGAAGGGTTGATGAGGACTTTCTAGACCCTGAACAAAGGGCAGGGTCATCTTTTAACCTGTCACTCTTGAGACTTCGACCCCAAGGCTTGTTGCATGTTGATGGAAGAAGAATGTGACCGCCATGCCGCTCCGTGGTCACAGTGCAAGACTGAGGGACTCTTAGTTTCCTGGGATCATGGGAAGCTATGACACTTTCTAGTAGCCTGAATATTGCTTGCTGACATCACCAGTTAACTGATGTTCAATCCACTTGTCATTCCATCCCTATGGACTTGCCTATGTGTGTGAGGTACTCATAACAGCACATTCAGCTGTAAACAGCACTGGCAAAGAAATCCACGTGCAGTGGGAACTCCCACCATGCTGCTGCTCAATCACTGGCTGCACACTAGGGGAGCCGGGCAGGCTGGCATCACATGCCTGGGAATCTGCCCCAGATCTTGAGTCTTCCACCTCGAGAGAGGCTTGTGGGCTGTCCCCCTCCTCTGCTTCCTGACCCTTGCGCCTTCAGCACAACTCGGTGACTCGTGGCCTGGCAGCCTTACCTTCCCGTCAGCACCCAGCTCCACACCTTCCAGACCAATGATCTCTTTCAAACTCACTGCGCCAGCTGATTGTCTTCCTCCATCCAACTTCAAGTCCCTGGGAGGACAAGCCAGAGGAAAAAAAAAATGCTTTTGTGTGCACCCCAAGGAGCCATGAGGATGCTTACTGCGTGAGACAACGTGGTCACACCGATGATAATGACCAGGTAAGCCCTGGTAGGTGGGACAGCCCTTTGTCCCTCCTTGGGGGCTTGCCAGTGATGCCTTGTTTCAACCACTTTGACATAAATGAAATCCAACTGAACAGAAAGCCTGAAGATGAAGTTGATGGTTTACAGACATCCCTCCCTCTTCCTCGAGGCCCACTATGTTCCCAGAGATGGCCAATGAATACGAGGCCAGGGAGCATTCCCTGAGCATTGTGGGATCACAGTTTGCTGGGATCTAGCTGCTGGGTTCTTTTTCTGAGACAGAATTTCACTCTTGTTGCCCAGGCTGGAGTGTAATGGCACAATCTTGGCTCACTGCAACCTACACCTCCCAGGTTCAAGTGATTCTTCTGCCTCAGCCTCCCGAGTAGCTGGGATATAGGCACATGCCACCATGCCCGGCTAATTTTTTGTATTTTTAGTAGAGACAGGATTTCACCATGTTGGCCAGGCTGGTCTCGAACTCTTGACCTCAGGTGATCCACCCACCTTGGCCTCCTGAAGTGCTGGGATTATAGGCGTGAGCCACCGTGCCCAGCCTGAGCTCTTTGTAATGCTGCACGAGATCACCTCTCTTTGCCACTCCCCTTTCTTAGGAGAAATAAATTCTTATCCTAAACAGCTACTGGGTTTATTGTTGGTGATTGAAAAATTAATGCCACAGTAGTTACCTCTACTACTTTGCTAGACTACGTAGAAAATGAATATCTTTTAATAAAAGAATAATCGCTAGTAATAACAAGCATGCATTCATTCATTCATTCACTCAGGGACAAAGTCTTGCTCTGTTGCTTATTAGGGAGTACACTGGTGTGATCATGGCTCACTGTAGCCTCAAACTCTTGGGCTCCGGCCATCCTCCCATCTTGGCCTCCTAAAGTGCTGAGATGACAGGTGTGAGCTACTGTGCCTGGCCAACAAGCATTTATTTAGCACTTTACTATTTCCAAAGACTCACACATTTCTTTGGTTCTTTAAGATGACCCTGTGAGAAAGGTACCACTATTTTGATCCAATTTACAGAGAAGGAAACTGAAGCCCTTGGCAGATTGTCAAGGTCACCAGGATAGTTGGCTGGAGAGGAGTTCATCTGATGTCATTTCTAGTACATCACATTGCCATGGAGATGCAAGATGAACTCACTGTGATTCTGCTCAGGTGTTAACTGCTCACATCTCAAAGGACCACACTCTTCCCCTACAGTAATTTTTAAATTTTGCTACATATCAGAATTACCTGGGGATCTCTGACAAACTGTTATCTGGCTCCCACCCCCAGATAGTTGGCATGGGGTGAGCCGACATCAGGAGTTTTAAACACTCCCCAGGTGATTCTAAACTACAGCCATGTTTGGGAATGACCAGGTTCACATTCTCTCTCTCCGACACCCGGTACCTGTTAGTCAAAGTCACCTCAGACCCACAGCATACTTGGGGTGTGGCCTGGATGGAGGGACCATATTCAGAGGCCATGTCTTACAACCTATGCAAGAACAAATACGAGGCAGAGGCAAACTGCTCCCAGCCAAAGACAAAGTCATGAGATAAGAGAAGAGGGAGCCAAGCAAGTGGCGAGAAGAGAAGGGGAAAAAGCTATCCCCAAATATAGAAAAAAAACAGGGATTCTCTGATTCTGCTAAGCCACCATCCTAGTCTCTGGGCATTACCTGGATGAGCCCTTATCCTACCTAAAATGTGGAGTCTGATTAATACAAATGCCCAGACCTTCTGTGGCCAGTAAGTGCTGCATTTTCACCACGGGCTTCCTGGGAGGCCATGGTAGTGCCACACTCAAAACAAAACATTTCTGGAGTCCCTTTCAGAACTGACACCAAAGTCATGCAGAAGAAAGCCAACAATCAACTCTGCTCATGCCCACAAGACTGTCTGCCCTACTGCTGCACCTGCTTTGCAGGCAACCCATGGCAATTCTCAAAAGGCTTCTTAAAGCAATTAAGGATGGAGATGACAAATGCATCGGGGCATTGGCATAGGGAAGCGCCTACAAAGCAAAAACGTGAACAAAGCAATAAGGCAAAAATACCTTTGGTGGGTAGGGAGGGAGGGGACTGACCACACGCAGAACAGGACAAAAATAGCAGCGCCTTCCCTTTCATTCAAGGACCAACAGCTCAGTTCCACGGGCTTCCTACCTTTCCAGAGCCAAACCCAGCACGCATGGTCTCCAAATTCCCAACTCCCAAACAATTTTCTCTTTGTTTCCATTTTGCCAGATGCAGAACGTTACTTAGGGTTGAAATTAATAGAGAAGTAGGAAATATCTTTATGGAGTGAGTAGGCCAAGGGAAATAAGGAGAATTCCAGTAAGCCTACACTGAGAGGGCTCTCAGACGGAGAGCTGGCTGCAGGCAGGGGCAGAGTCTCAGTCCATTTTCATAACCTGTCTATACAACATCTGATATATAATGAACTATTTACTGAGAGCTAGTGTGGCTCTTTGCTGTCTCGCCAGTACTGGTACATACAGATGGCATGAAACATGGGTGATTTTCCACTGTGTCCATTTTCATCTGTCTTCAATTTGCTCACAGGCTCAATGCTTCCCCAGGGCAGCCTTGTCCTGGCCAGCTGTCTGCCTGCCACCAAATGTGCATATCACACATCACAGTTAACAGAACCAAACCAGCCGTGCCTCTTCCACACTCCTTCTTGGCGCTTCCTCCAAAGGAAATGAAGCCCTCACAAAAAATATTCTCATGTGCTCACAGAAAGTCCAAGATTCTATTCCATGAGATAAAACCCAAACCTAACTTAAAGAAACAGGGATTCTTAGACCCCGTGGATTGTCCAAGTGTCTCAACGACACTTAGGACCACACGAAAGATGGGCAAGTCTCCACCAACCCTACCCATAGAACTGGTCCCTTGAGAAACATCATGACTCACTATAGTCACCACTTCCCCCTGCCTTTCTACTTACGTCATTCTACTTTCTAAATCACTAAGGCCAAGCCAAGTAAGAAAATAAGCAAGAATAGCGGGGCCACCCTCAACTGCTACTGGAGACACGTGAGGCTTGCTACAGACCAGCGCCACACGACAGAACGTCCTGTGATGACGAAGATGCTCCCTATCTACCTTGTCCCATACAACGGTTGTGTGCCGCAACTGAGCGCTTGAAATGTGACCAGTTGACTGAGAAACTGAATTTTTAATTTTATTTCATTTTAATGAATTTAATGTGATTTGCCACATGTGGCTACTGACTACTAAGACCCAGTGCTTCCTTGGCAGGACGTTGGCTAGCCTTAATAAGTTCCTATGGCAAGTTAATACAGTCACAGATATGTAGTGACTTGGATTTGGTCTCCCAGTTTTCTTCCCAAGAGTGGCCTATTTTATGCCTATTGCCTGTGGGGATGTTGACATTACAGGCCCCTGCAGATGGGGCAGCAGTGTGGATTCACCTAAGTTGGGAGGAAAATGACGACCACAGGGCGCACGATCAAACGGGACCCGTGCCCTGCACCATCAGCACCCCAAGAATGGGGCTCCCCACAATGATAAAGATTGATAACTCACACCTGGCACAGAGCAGCAGATCTTTTTGCCTGGAGGGGTCACAGGGTGGGTATGACAGAGTTTTGGCAGTGCCAGGGCAACCAAAGGAACAATAACCAGTGTGTGTTACCCAAAGCCTAGGCATTACAGTAGGTTCCAGGCCCTTCTCTGCACAATACTGGAGAGGGGGACAGAAGGATGCCCAGTGAAAAAAGGGTCTCCATTTCCCCTCAGCCTTGTAGAAGGGGGGCTCAGAGTTCATATTAAGTAGATTTAAAAAGGAGAAATGAGGTGTACACCAAAGCTACTCACACTCAAAACTTCGCTGACACAGTAATAAATATCATCACAGCTCTAGAGCACTGACAGCTTCGAGATGGCGGAGGGCAACTTTTCCATGTTTTTCCTCCCTCGGATTCAGGGAGAGGTTATCACTAACTTCAGGACTACCATTTTGGTGGGCTTGAATTAAGAGCACACGCGTACAGATGTGTGCACAGTCAGTCGTCCACAGAAAACAAAACAGATCTCATTTAAGCCACTTCTAACAATGTCAGTTTCTTCTCATAGCTTTTGAATTTGTGTATGTTAAGATTCTCAGGGTCTTAAAAAAATACATCTTCTGGTCGGGCATGATAACTCATTCCTGTAGTTCCAGCACTTTGGTAGGCCAAGGCAGGCAGATCACCAAAAGTTGGGAGTTCGAGACCAGCCTGACCAACATGGAGAAATTCCCATTTTTAGTTTCTACTAAAAATACAAAATTAGCCAGGTGTGGTGATGCATGCCCGTAATCCCAGCTACTCGGGAGTCTGGGGCAGGAGAACCGCTTGAACCCAGAAGGCGGAGGTTGCAGTGAGCCAAGATTGGCACCACTGCACTCCAGCCTGGGTAACAGAAGCAAAACTCCACCTCAAAGAAGAAAAAAATATATACATCTTTCACAGAGAGGCTGACAAACTTTTCTGGGTTGATTCTTCTTAGCTAAGGGCTCCGATCAATGTTGCTGGACTCTTTCTGATATTAACAGGAAACATGTAATTGCCGTTCTTTGGTCATATTTGACCCCGGTAAACAGCAATTTCACATTATGCCAGGTAGTAGTGTAACAGCTCAGGAACTGTTCAGTCTTTATGTGTGAGTAAAGAGCAGGTGAGGCCCATGGTCTTTGCTGTCCCTCTCTTTCAGAAGCCGGGAAGGTTGGAGTTGCATGCAGAAAGGAACTCTGAATGGTGTAGATTCACCCAAAAAGGATCTTTTAAAAACTCCAGTGAAAAAGAATGAAGCAGAAGTCCCAGGGGAGTAGTGATGAAATTTTGGTATTTTCTAAGATCATTGTTCTGAATTCTCATTAAAATGGTCTATTAA